AAAAACACCGCATGAACATTCCAAAGTTGCCAAATTGCCCCGGATAAAACATGTATTTTTGAGAAAGATTATGCGTATTTTTCCTCGAGATTTTCAGACATTTCAGACAAAATTGCGAACAAAATTGTCTGAAAAAATTGAAGAAAAACATTCACAATTTTCCCAGTAAATTAGGTTTTCATTGACGGAAATATGGCAACGTCTGAGGGTTTATGCAGCGTTCTTCTTTGGCACGCTGAATTCTAGCCAGCATAATGGTTTTCTGTCCCATATTTTTCATATTCATTTACATATCTTTTACTTCCACGCAACTTCGAAAAGCTAAATCTATCGGATGCAACAGAATAATTCGGGAAAAAGGAGGAGGATGGGTGCTTGAGCCCTGAATCCCTAAAGAGGCGAATCAATACATTTCAGCTTATTCCTTATGCCGCTCACTGCTTAATATGCGGAGCGCGTCTTTTTGACCTCTATGAAAAAGAATCGGGTTCAGGAACTAAAATACTGGAAATAATGGGGATGAAATATTCATCGTTTCATCCGGGAAAGTATTTCAAACATACCGGCTCTAATGCGGACCATGAAGAGTGGTTTAAAATCGCAAGTCACTCCTTGACTAAGCGCCCGCTCCTCCGAGTCGAACCCAGTAGAGTAGCGTGCTGAACGATAAATCGATTGATCTGGCATTTAAACCTATGGAAAAGGATCGATAAACAGGTTGCTTACGACGAACATCTTAATAATCGATTTTGTACCACAGCTTCAAACGAGGAAACATCGATAATCGATCATTCACGCCTCGCCACTGGCTGTCACTGACCTGTTCGAGATACGGAAGATAACCGAGTGATATGATTCTTGGCAGAGGATCTCATTTTTGAGCTCTGACCTTTGAAGTTCCTCGAATTTTAATTAATTTTGCGTCTGTTAAGGTTAATGCATCCGGCAATTAGACTCGTGAGTTGTTTGGGCACAATCGGGTTCTTCTCATGGCGGTGAGTGTAAATCAAGAGGTGTGCCGATGGGTGCAATATATTCCCGAAACGCGTCTATAGTTGCTTTCGTCATTGTTTGTATGCTAACATTGTGAAGGTGAAACTGCGGAATCACGTGTGTCAATGGACCACTAGACAAGGTACGAATTTCAGCATTCTGATACATATTTCTTGACCAAAATTTCACGTGTAACACAGTGCGCGCAACAAAAATTACCGATATCAACTCCTTACAAAAATATTTAATGATTCTTAATGCGTGAATTCAAACCATCCGCTCATGGAAACTCAATGCTCTACGTGATTCACATTACGCGCTAACGCTTTGGCTCAGCTGTAGCAAGTTGCTTATAGTTTGAACAACACATGGTGGAAAATGAGCATTGCTCAATTGAGAGGCTTGCTGAAACCGTTGTAGTGCGCGATTTGACTCACGTAGAGCTTTGAGTTTCTTGTGAGGGCAGTTCAAAATCCGCGTAACCAATGTGAAATAAAAAGGTTAGTATCTTCGTTAGGAGTTGGTTTCAGTAATATTCATTGCGCGTATCGCGTTCTACGTGAAGTTCTGGTTATAAGAAACATGTATCAGAATGCTTGAATTCGTGCCTTGTCTATTTTACTAAACTTTTAATATCGCACAGTTTATTCCGTGAAATTTTTAACCAAGGATTTTCCTCTGTTTGGAAGAAACGGCTAGGTTAGGTTTTCCGAGACGTAACAATTGAGAGACGTCTTTTTCGATGGTCCCATCCGCCTGTTTTAATTATGTGAATAAACTTCTCTGATTGCGTCACGTCCCTAACGGAAGAACGTATCTACATTTCAATGTTGCAAAATATCCGCTCGCGAATTTTATTCTTGTCAACAAACCTAAGATAAGAGACCCTCCACTAGTATCTTGGCAATGGTGGAAGCTTTTACTTTTGGGACTTTAGCATTCTACTGTTGACTTACCTACATGGTTGATGTTCAACAACGTGTTGGCAGTTTTGTTTTGCAAACAAGCCGAAGTCCGGGAAACTTGTTTGGCTCATTAACGTCACCCGAAGCTCATCATCTACCATGTAGGTAGGTCAACAGCCGAAATAAGAGTGATGACTGTTGTTCTCCTATAATTGCTCATAAGGAATTGTTGAATCCCCGAAAGTAACAGCTTTCAAGCAAGAGGCCAGTGGAGGGTCTCTTGTCTCTGCTAGATCGTTTCTATAACTGAAAATTCAATTGATTCTGCTTCTGATCACGTGCTAAAATAAGCAAAATTTTGAGCAGAAATCTCACAGTCAGGATATTGTCGAAAATCGGCTCGTTGGAGTATTTCGTCTGAAAACGACAATAACCGCACTTAGGATCAGATTTCTCATCAAAGTATAAGGGCTCCATCCCACGATAACAAGAGTTCTAAACAGAAATTTCGGAAAAATCAATAGGGATGAGTGGCAAAGGGCCGGAAGGGTTCGAAACTTTTGATGAAAATGAGATGACATCCCTTGATGCCTCCGTTTTATAATCACTATCTTGTAATACGCCGGCCGCATGCTCCCCTGCTCGGTAGAAGGGATGAAAGTTTCTTGGGGGGTTTTTGCGTGTTGAGTTTTGGATTTTAATATTGTACGTGAGGCTTTTTGACGATAAAGCCTCGTTTGAAGCTGGTGGAACATTGGCGCAGAAGTCAGAAGAGATTCTTTCAACACCGTCTCTTTTCGCCTCTGCATTTGCCAACTTTCATTCTTTTAGTCGATATACTTACGAACACTTAGAATTAGATGGATTTACGCGTCTTTCAAAATCAACCTGGAATTCATAGCGGATACTTTCAGTCTTAGATATTCCATAAAAGTCATTTGATTTCCCTCTGTGACAAACGAGTAATTCAGCTCATTCATCAATTGAGAGGCTTGGAGGACAAGACACAGAAGGGTTTCAGGACATTCCGTCTACGATTTTTTGTCCGTGTGCCCGTTTGGTCCGGTAGTTTACGTCCACGCGTTAAATAAGAAACAGTGACTTGGTCCAAGTGCTATATTTTAGCCCATTTTTCAAAATCCTGAGTCCCAAAATCCCACATTTCAAAATCCTGAGTTGAAAAAAGCTGACTCCGCCAGCTTAAATATTAAAGCCAAACGCAGAGCGGAGCGGCGGCGCGGCATGCCTGGCCGCGCATCGGCGCCTACAAACCTAACAGGGATACTTCACGCATTGCGCAATGCGCGAAGTATCCCTGTTAGGTTTGTAGGAGCCAATGCGCTGGTCGCCCTCGCCCGCCGCGCCGCGGCGCTTCAAGCAACTATTTCGCAACAGAGGTGGTGCACAGTATCATACGAAATTGAAGGCTCTCCAACATATTAAGAATGACAGGCATTCTTTAAGAGTACGGAACTTTCCTCGAAAAATAAATCAAGATACTATGGCACAAAAAGAGAGCGGTAGTCCAAAAACTCACTAAGTTCTAGCATCCGTATTTAGGTTTAGCATAATTTGTGAATTTCATCAGAGAAAAAAGGGACTCGATTTGGGCTGAAACATTCTTGAGTATGCTGTCAAGAAGATTTTATTTTGAATCGAGAATAAAATAGCTGAATGAAAGCGGGGTTCTGCTTAATTAAGGGACTTTTCGTTTTATATAAGCATCTTTTCTTCTTGAAACAAACATTATTTTCTTTATCGGTTCAAAAGGAAATCGTCTCGGTGGTAAATTTAAGTGTATTCCTGCTTGAATCAAGTCACTTTTTCCTCTAAGGAAGTTCAAAAATCACGCTAAATTTTATTGAATACAGATACTAGGACTAAGTAAGTTTTTCGACTATACCGCTCTCTTTTTGTCGTCGTCACTCCATTTAATTTGCAATCGATTTTCGTGCTTTTGAAATATGCCATCAATCATGATACTTTTGTGAGGTGCTTTAAATCTCGTATGATACTGTGCAACACCTCCGTGGCGAAATAGTTGCTCGAAATACCGCGGCACGCAGGCGCCGTCGCGAAGTTATCGTACCTACACATGAAAAATCTAAGAACCTTTGGCTGAGGCAAATCAAAAACTTTATCCGGTACCAAGATAGGATTTTCTTGAGAGATAATTAAGTCCTGTTGCATCAAAGAGGTGTAGAGAGTTTTTTAGTTAATTTTCTCTCATGAAATTGATGCCCTCCCATTTTCACCAAAATTCTCAATTATATATTTTTCCCCGTCGGACCGAACAAACAAAAAGAAACAAGCAAACCCTCATTCTCCCAAATCATAATACATCTCCATCCATGAACAATGTGTCCCAACCAACCAATTGTCATTTGTATTTACATGTGGACCAATTAACTTCGGGTCTCAATTGGTAGGTGGACCAAAACTCCCCTGCCGCAAAAACGCATGGACGTGAACCACTGGAAATACAGGCGCGTGGACAACAAATCGTTGACGAAATGTCTTATAACCCGCAGATTTGAAAAAATCGAGGTATTAATGATTTCGAATCAAACTATTCATAATGCATATTCTGTGAAAAATTCGCTCTCAAATTATAATTTTTAAGCATCCAAAAGTCAGTTCGAACTTTTTTTCGCCATAAGGATCCATGTGATTTCGGAACTTCAAACACGCAGCTCTCGAAATAGCAAAAACTGCACTTATGCGCCTTGTCCTCCAAACCCCTCAATTAGAATTAAACATTGTCTCACGGTGGTCATGGGTGTGTGTGTCTTAGTCTTTTACTCCGTCTTTCTTCTTCTTTCTCTTCTTCTTCTTCCTCTTCTTCTTCTTCTTCTTCTTCTTCTTCTTCCTCTTCCATTTCTTCTTCTTCTTCCTCTTCTTCTTCTTCTTCTTCTTCTTCTTCCTCTTCTTCCTCTTCCTCCTCCTCTTCTTGTTCCTCTTCTTCCTCCTATTCTTCTTCTTCTTCTTCTTCTTCTTCCCCTTCTTCTTCTTCTTCCTCCTCTTCTTCTTCTTCCTCTCCTTCTTCTTCTCCCTATTTGAATACACTAAAAATGAAGTAAAAAACGGATGAAGTGGACTTACTCCTTTCAGCTTTGGGCATGGCGGGCTCGTAGTTTTTCTTGAAGCCTTTGAAGAGGTTCTTGGGCGACAGGGCGGCTATGAGGGCGGCGATCCCCTCGGGTTTGGCCACTTGCATTTTGGCCTCATCCCCCGCCACACCGCCGCCGGCGGCGCCCACTTTAGAGCGACTCCGACTTCGCTGCATCCCCTTGCCCTTGCACGGACACCGCAACATAATAGATCATCTGTTCCAACAGGAAACAACAGGACCAAGTTAGAATGAACCTCCTCGCACAAGAGTCAAAATTAACACAGGAATCGGGTAAGAAATTGCCAACGACCGCATTCACAGTAGTGCTGTAACTACCCTTAAGGAGCCACTGAAAAAAAATTCTCGGCGTTTTTACCAAGGTCCGTTGGCACCTTTACCATCTCACTCTTTTTACCAATTATAGGTAATTTTACCGAGACAGACTGGTAAGCTTACCTAAAAACCGGTATTTTTACTGTTTTTTCAGGTAAGAATACCACTTTTATTGGTAATCAATTCCCGGTAACTTTGCCATTTTATCTCGGTAATACCGAGATTTCTCGGTAAAATTACCAATTCCATGAATGGTAATTTTACCAAGAAAAAACTGCGATCAAATAGAACCCTGAATTCTTGGTAATTTTACCCTTTTCTTAGTTAATACACCGAGATGTTTTTTTCAGTGAGGTTTCATTAAAGGTCGTATTCATAGTCTTGCCTTAAATGGCAGGAGGCCTTGTCTGGTTTACATTGTGACTAAGGAAGGTTTCAAAAAACACTTAAAATAGCATCATAAAAAGGACAATAATTGGACTGCGTTTTGCAATTTGGAACTATAAATTCTAGCCCGGTTTAAAAACAACGTATATGCCATTAGTTTCCCTATGCACATAAATGTTTTTCTAGAAGGGCCAGACTTTATGGTTCCAAATTGCATCAGTCCAATTTTCGCTAATCTCGAATAAAATTCAGCAGTGATTTATCATCACTTTGCAAATGGATCCTTACAAGGAGTTAGGGCCGTCCTTAAATTACGTAACGCTTTAGAGGGAAGGAGGGGCGAAGAGAGCTTTACGTCATTTCTTATTTACATGTAAAAGCATAGAAACCTACGCCACTAAAAACGCTAGAAAGCGTTACAAGGGTGATGGGGGGGGGGGGGTTCAAAAATTCCGAAAAAGAGCATTGCATAATTTAGGGATGACCCTTTATCAAGTGATCCTCTTCTGTATTTTCTGAGAAATTCAGTTTTACGAGTGTGATGTAATTTTTTTGTCACAACGATGAGTAAAAAGTACGAAAAACAAAATATATATTGCGAATTTTGTACATTTTAAGATAGTTTCACACTTGCCTTAAATTTGTTCAATATCGAAGAATGTTTTCTTCCGTATTTTGCAAGTTTTGTTGTGATAAATAATTTTAATCCCTTGCAAGGGTCCATTTCTAATATCATACTGTTAAATTTTACTCGAGGTTGGCAAAAATAGCCTTTTCAATGCTACTATTTTAAGGGCTTTCTCAAACCTCCATTAATCACAATGATAACAAGGGTCTCTCTGAAGAAAAGAGCTGTTTAGATTACTCAGCATATCGATGGCCAAAGCGCGGAACCAAGCACCTTCGCTTGCGATGTTCTAGACTTCCTGTCGTGCTTCATATTTTCTTTGGAAAACGTATCAGCCTAATTTTTTTGAAAAATTTATTGGTATTTCAACTCTGTTGGCAACAGTACCTGGGTATAAATTTTAAGCTAAAAAGTTGGCTTGTTCTCCCTCATTAAACAAAATGGGAGTAGATACTTAGAAACACCACCCTGGAAATACGTGGTTTTGCACTTAGGTCATCGATAAATAAAGAAGCATGTCTACGAATATAACCCTTTGTTGCAAGCAAAATATACCAGTCACTCAATTTTCCAATCGGTCCTCACTGCGTGTTTTAGCGGAATGTTCGGTTTAGGAACTGTTGAACTTCAGGAGGTAGGTAATTAAGGGGGGTTGTACCTCCTTCCGGCTTGCAAACACTCAGCGGAAGTTTGTTGGAAAACAATGCGCGAAGTTTACAGGTCCGCGTGGCTACACCCTAGAGGCATAGCGGAAGTTTATCCGCAAACTTCATCCGAGTGACAAAATTCTCGAGATTCCAAGTTACTTCCTATGTCTATTGGAGAGGTCGCTCTACATTAGAGATAACCCTCGCTGCATATAGTCTTAACCAGGAATTCTCGGTTTAACCATCAATTTTTGCGTATACAATATGTGTAACAGACTTTCCAAAATAATTTATTGACATTCTAAAAACTAGAACTTTGTTCTGGAAGAAACTATTTAACATAATTCTCTCTTGTATATTTATTGCCTGTTCATATTTCCCTCTTTTGGAGTAAAAAAAACAAACAGGTAGGACTACAAAGCAGTCGAAAAGCGTATCGCCGTGATAATCAAAAACGTCGTATGAACCTTCAAGTGTTGCCAAACTTCCTTTCGTAAAATGCGAATTTATTGGGAAAGTTGTTAATATTCTCCTTCCAATTTTTCGAATTTTATTCGTAAATCAATCTAAAATATCTGAAAGCTTCAAGGAAAAGTATGCATGACTTACATCCAGAGCAAATGTTTTATCAGGGACAATTTGGCAACGTTCGAATGTTTATACGAAGTTTTTCCTTAGCACAGCAGCGCAGCCATCTAGTTATTTTTAAGACACTACGAAGCATTTTATATCGATATCTCGAAATCGAATTTTTCGGCAGAACCCTACACATATTCCTCTACTACAATTTTTGCTATTTGGGGTGCTTTTTACTGTGGACGATCTAATCCCAACCCCCTATCGTTATGAAGAAGCAGTGCTTTCCTACACTGCCGTACTAAGGAAAAACACCGTATAAACATTCGTGAGTTGCCAAACTTTCTCCAGTGAAATGTTTAATTTTGAGGAGCGTTATCAATATTTTCTCTTGAAATTTTCAGATAATTTAGATTTAGTCACGAAGAAAATTCTCTAAAAAATTGACCGGGAAGTATTCACGATTTTTTCTGAAAATTCGGATTTACTCAAAGGGAATTTGGCGACTGACAAAAGTTCATACAGTGTTAATCCTTAGCACGCTAGCGCAGTGCATGGAGAAAACATTTCACTGGTCGGAAAACCATCCTAATTATATCCACCTACTAGCGCAATTCACGATTTTGTTTATCCCAAATCCCTTTGCGTTTTTCTTACCGAAAGGTATGATGAAAATGGGGCAGAGCAGTGGCGCGGCTTGAATTGCGATATATCGATTGTTATGCCATTTAAACCTATGGTAAAGAATCGATTATTAAGGTGTTCGCCGCGAACACCCTGTCTATCGATCCTTTTCCATAGGTTTAAATGGCATAACAATCGATATATAGCAAAGCACGCCACGCCACTAGGGTAGAGGGGAAAGAACGTATTGCAACTGACGGCTCCAGATTAAATCGAAAGTCCGTTTGAAAAAAAAAAAAAAAAAAAAAAAAAAAAAAAAAAAAAAAAAACGAATAAGCTGAAATTTGACCGAAATTAAAAAGCCCGCAGCTCCGAGTCAATTCCGAATCGTCGCTCATTAGAGCCGAGAAGCGCGGAGTTAGACAACAGGCCGCTCCACGGCGAAACAACCGTAAGTACATTTTTGGAATGAGCCTCGACGAGGACGAAAGCCCGCTCCATTCGCGGCTCACGTCGAGACGCACTTACTGCTGTCTTGCGTAGGAGCGCGAAGAAAAGAGTTCGCCTCGGGTCCTGTCCGTTAATCCAGTTTGCGTTTGTGTCAACTCGATTGTTTTCCGGCAGAATGTGTTCTTCACGATTTGCTCGAAAGCGAGAGCCGAGCAAAGCGCAAAGCTCTCCCGCTCTACCGTACTAAGGAAAAACGCCGTATGAACCATCAGGCGTTGCCAAATTTTCTTCGATAAAACACGACTTCCCTGGTAAACTGATGAATATTTTTCTTCCAATTTTTCAGGGAATGTCCTTTGTATTTTGATCTAAAGTCCCTGAAAATTTCGAGTAAAAATATTCATACTTTGCCTCATAAATAAACATCTTATCAAATGAAATTTGGCAACTCTCGAATGTTCATACGGCGTTTTTCCTTAGCACGGCGGCGCTCCCCCGAGTCCCTCTTACTTTTGCTGCTCTTTTGTTTGCCGCGGATTAGACCTCCGCCGCACAGTGGACCGAGTCAGTCAGAGAGGTCGGGCAAGAAATTTGTATCTAAAACTGCAAATATTGATGATTAATTTGTCACATTTTAAATTTTAAGGGGTGCTTCTAAGAGAAAATTTCACGAGGAAACCAATGAAACCACTTTTAGAACCTCAAAGTTTTGCATAAAGGGAGTTATAAGCTTTCAAAGTTTCCGAAGTTTGTCCGACCTCTCCCATCGACTCGATCCAGTGCGCGCCGTCGCGTGCTGTTTACTCTACGGCGGGAAAAATAATGTCACTGCACTAATGCGCCACCTCTTCTTTTTCTTCCGTACGCACTTTGGCGCCCCGAACAATGGGCCGCGAGACGCCGCCGATAATGGGAGTTTTTGTTACGATCGATTGACGGACGCACGAGATTACCGCTCTGCCAGTGGCGTGGCGTGAATTGCGATGTATCGATTGTTCTGCCATTTAAACCAATGGTAAAGAATCGATTATTAAGGCGTTCGCTGCGTACACCCTTTTATCGATCCTCGTCCATAGTTTTAAACGGCATAACAATCGATACATCGCAAGGCACGCCACGCCACTGGCCGCCGTGGTTTAAATTCGTAACGACCGTCACACTTACGATACGCTAGGATATTTTGTGTGTAAAGAGAAGGGGGGGGGATGCCTGATAAAAAAACCCACATTAAATGTTCCGTATTGGCTATTTTTTCGATTGATATTGCAGCTGAAATTGAGAGCAAGTAGTTTAGCTTTCAGCCGATAGATCGCGTTGAGATCGCCGGCCTGAGAGCTAATAATTTGTACCGTTTTCCTCATTGATTTTGCTCAATTGAAGTCATCTTTCCTGGACCTTGCTACTTGCCAGATAGATTGTTGGCATTTTTGACTAAGTAGCCTTTGATTTATTGTGTGTTGTATTGTTAGCACTAAGTTGTTCATTTTATTCGCGAGAATTGGCGAGCTTTAGTTTTTGGTTGCCCGGCCACTGATTCCTCCTAATCAGTGTCTCTGGAACGAGTTACGT